CAAGCCACCATGGCTCCAAGTGGGGCGTTATGACCCGAGCTCACCAAGCCACCATGGCTCCGAGTGGGGGTGTTATGACCCGAGCTCACCAAGCCTTCATGGCTCCGAGTGGGGGCGTTATGACCTGAGCTCACCAAGCCACCATGGCTCCGAGTGAGGGTTTATGACCCAAGCTCACCAAGCCTTCCAGGGTTGTTGGTCAGGCCTGTTTCTTTAGGCACACAGTCACTGAGCATATTTTGGCTGTGAGGCAGGTCTTCAGAGCGTTTGTCATCCTTCATATTGGCTTTGCTCCTTTTGGTTCATTCACTGAACCGGGGGGCTTAGGCCTTTTTCAGTTTGGAGCTGGACTCTGCATATAACTTGGCTTCTGGATTCTCAGGGATTTGCTTCACAATTAATTTCATTTGGTTTTAATGTATTTCACAAAGTGCGGGTGTATCCAACATTCTCGTGAATGGTCTCTCACTTCTATCCCATTTCTACAAAAGTAGACTATCAATGACACATCCTTCCTTTGCTTCTGCAAGACATTCAATTAGCCCAAATTGGACCGCCTCGTGTTGGCGTGGAACCAGCAGCTTCCCTCCTATGTGGCTATACTCCCCATTGCAAGGTTCTTGTGGTGGATGTCCTTTAGCTGGATGGGTCAAGGTCAGGGGTTCCTCTCTCTCTCTTCTCCCTGGATCAGTTGTTATTTCTGCTGTTGTCCAGGCTGGAGACATTCTTAATCATGTTGATCGTTTCTGGCTCTTTGGTGGCTGGCTCGGCCTTTATTTCCAGCTGTTCTGGCCTGGTGTCGAAACCCAGGCATTTTTCCACAGTGCTGCCTCTTTCAGCAGATTGGCCCAGTAATGTATCTTGCTGTTTGGCATTCTCCACTGATCTAAGTGTCTGGTGTGCAGGTGGCCGAGTTGTTGTTGCCCAACTTGTGTCTTTCATTGTGGCAACAGTATGAAGCTTGTAGCTGCTCCTTTCACCTCTTTCTCTCCAAGTTTCTTTTGTGTCTGTTCTGGTGGCTTTGTCCTTTTTCTGTTAGTTATTTATTGAATGGTATCATGTCTAATACTTTCAGCTCTTATCATTCGGTTCTGGCAGAGCCGTTTTTGTTGGCATTCGGCATTAATGTCTCCTTGGTGCCATTTTGCAAGTTGTCTCTTTTTTTTTTTCTTTCATCTCCAGCTGGCTCATGCTGCTAATGAGCCATTTTGGTACTGTATCTTGATAGGGTGTAGGTGCTTTTGTCCTCCCATTGAAAGTAATGTGATGCCTCTTTCTAGTAGAGCCTCAGTGGCTTTCAGACTCCCTGCTCCCCCCCCCCTTCCACCGGGTGCATCAGTTCATGATCATTCAGCTCCAGACTGAGGCAAAGTTGGCAACAAAAGTCAGGAGCTCCCAGAGCTGCTGCCACTTGTGGTAGTCAACCACACTAAGGGGTTCAAGCTAGGTTTCCGAGATAATCACTTGAGGAGTCAATTTAGCATTTTCAGTGCGTTACCTTCTGTAAATCTTGCAGTTGTCTATATTGCTCAGTAGACTTTCTGAATGTTTTCTCAGTGACGGTGATCGTAACAATCCCCTGCTCTCTGTGCCTCTCTGAGGGGGCTAGGTTCTGGCTCTGGTCCTCAGTGGGCCATACAGGACTCCTGTGACTGACTCAGTACTGGGAAGCTGTCTCACCGAGACAGCGGTGAGACAGCTTCAGGGAGCCACCGAGGCCCTATGAGAAAAAAGGTGTTTCATTCATTCAAGAATTTGTTGTATGCACATAGAGATAACACTTGATTTATCCTACACACATTTCAAAAGTTAAATCTAGTATAAAGAATGCTCCCACCAAGACATTTAGTATCTACTCTAAAGTTATGCAACATTTATGCTAGGCAAATGTAAATTAACATTCATCATACACACATTACTCATACATTTTTGTACTCAAAAATAACATATGATTGTTGTATGTTGACAACAATCTCAACAATACCAAATACCATTTTGTCTCCACTTTATATGGGTTCAGGATGGACTGAAAGTTGTCATTTAACATTATTTTACTTCTATGTGTGTGTAATTAATTAAGTGTAATTATCTATGTGTAATTACACTAAGTATGTGTTGGATTATTTGCTTCCTCCACATTACTGTTACTTATTCTCTGAATACCAGTATAATAAATCACGCAATTTACCTCTGTTTCTTATGATCCGAATGTTGTTGCCGTCAAGATCAGAGTGAGCTATATAATCTTGGTGGGCATCAGCCCAGAAGAGTTCATTCGTCACGTATGAGATTGTGAGAGCATTGGGCCATCCCAGAGATGAATTCACAATTATTTCTGTGATGAACCATCCATTCCGGCCTTCCCTATATGGGGCTGATTTCCCCAGTCTGTCCAATACATATTGCTGATGGGAAAAAACAATTACTGTACATACAAAATATTTTGATGAATACAATAATAAAGAAATACAATAATACAGTAAATGTTAGTGTCATGACCATTAAGGCCAAGAACAAAGGCACACAAACATATTAAAGTTATAATCATGGAAAAAGTCACTTTTCCCAGAATTACACGAGTGATAGATGTATAAGTGGTTATATGTTCGTGGTGTTGTGGTGGTGTGCTGCGTCCATGAGGTCTGGGAGGAATGACAAGTGACACATGTGAGTACTCACCTAGTTGTGCTTGTGGGGGTTGAGCTCTGGCTCTATGGTCCCCACCCCTCAACAGTCAATCTACTGGTGTAAAGATTCCTGAGCTTCTCGAGCTCTATCATATCTACATATGAAACTAAGTATGGAGTCAGCCTCCACCATATCACTTCCTAGTGCATTCTATTTACTAACTACTCTCACACTGAAAAATGTATCTCTATTGTCTCTGTTGCACATCTGGGTACTCAGCTTCCACCTGTGTCCCCTTGTGCATGTACCAATTAAATAATCCATCCTTGTCTATCTTGTCAATTCCCATGAGAGAATTCTGTATGTGGTGATCATGTCTCCCCGAACTCTTCTGCCTTCCAACGACGTGAAGTGCAGTTCACGCAGCCTGTCCTCGTAACTCATGCCTCTTAGTTCTGGGACTAGCCTAGTGGCATACCTCTGAACTTTTTCCAGCTTCATCTTGTGCTTGACAACGTATGGACTCTATTCTGGGGCCACATACTCTAGGATTAGCATTACATATGTGGTATACAAGTTCTGGAAGATTTCTTACACAGGTTCCTGAAGGCAGTTCTGATGTTAGCCAACCTTGCAGAGTGGTAACCCCAAAGAGTGGTAACATGTTTGTGTTGTGGTGGTGGTGTGATGTGATGTGCTGTGTCCAAGAGGTCGGGGAGGAATCAGACTTGTAACTTAATAATTAGCAAAGTGGCCATAAACTGAACCTCAATACCCATAAACACAGTAATGGACTACAAATAATTGACAAAACAAAAAAACATTTAAATTGATTAATAATGCATACAATATATAATATTAACCATTAAGTGGAGTACATGACTCCAAACTGTTCACAAATGAAATGAAAAAAATTATGACATGGTGATTAGAGTAGAGAGGATAATTCCAGATAAGTGATTGAGAGCAGTGTACAGGTTAATGGGTCCTATAGCACAGTGGTCTATGTTGACTCAATCCCAGACACCGGGGATTATTTTATACGTAAAATAGTGCATAGAGTATCAATACTAACCCATGAAAAGGGTCAAGAACGATGGCTCGTGGATCCTGTAATCCTTTGTTGATGAGGACCTTCCTGAACCGACCATCTAATTTGGACACCTCAATGGTGTCTTTGCCCTTGTCACACCAATACAGGTTACGTCCAACCCAGTCGAGGGCGATGCCATCAGGACTCTGTACAGCCGAATGCAGCACCTTTGATCACATTAAAAATAAGTTAAATACAGTTCAGACAAATACACAAATAATGAATGCATGTAAATACTGCATAATGAAGTCACATGAGGATGATATATTAATTAGAAACAGTTGAACATTACCAGTAGTTTATATAATTTGGATCCATTTTTGATAGATCAGTTAAAGGGTGATTTGAGTAGGATCATTGATACACATTTGTCTCACTAATTCATTGTTAATATTATCTATCTTATACTATTATTATCCATATATGGGCCTATTGGCCCATAGAATGCAGCTCCTATTCATACCCACCCAATCCTAGTCATATTTTTATCATTGTACCTCACTTCACTTCACCTCTCTCCTGCCTATATATGTCCAAACCTTTGTACTTGTAACTCACCCTTCTAAAGATGTATTATTAAATACGAAACTTCTTAAGGAAATTCCTGTGTCAATTCTTCCTCCGTGGTCTGACACTTTCATCCATTAGGAAATATAATGGAACCTAACCTGCATCCTTGAACGTTCTCATATGTAAATACTGATATGTACATGACTGCAGCGTATTCAGACCAGACACAGTAGTGAACAAATCCACAAGGGCCGTGACGAGGATTCGAACATGCGTCCGGGAGCATCCCAGACACTGCCTTAATCGACTGAGCTACGACAGGGTTAAAAGGGTTGAAACCGAAGTTCTACTGAACTTACTGGATCCCGTAGCCTCTCTGAGGCACAAACCAGGCTTTTACACAACCCCCTCCCCTGCACCCGAGCTATGTCAATAGGCCGTTCTCCCTCTTCGCCCTTACATCATCACACACAGAGATCACACTAATGTGATGCATCAAATGAACAATAATGAATGCATGTGTTCATTTGATGCATCACGTTAGTGTGATCTCTGTGTGTGTTGTGTCAGACACAGTAGTGTCCTGTGTATGTATGTGTGAATAACACAACCTTCCTTCCTCTTATGCATGAAGTGTGGAGGAAATATCTAAACAATTTGCCAAATTGTTCTACTCTTGCAGCCCGATTGCCTGGTCAGTGAAAACAGTAGTGTAGTGGTCTACATCTTCAACTCACAATTGAGGACCCTGGGATAGATTCCCAGGCAGTAAGTAAAGAGATGGAGCACATTTCCTTTCACCTGATGCCTTTGTTTACTTACTTTACCTACATGGGAGTTAGTAAACTGTTGTGGGTTACATCCCAGGCTTCATGTCCAACTATGACAACTATAAAGTGAACCATTACTCCATTTCCATTATTATCTCATTATTTCCCATTTCTCACTTATATGGGTCACCCATGGCGACCCACCACCCATGGCGACCCATCACCCACTGGATATAGGGCAAGAGTTGTTAGCATACAGTCATCAGTGCCCTCAGTATCACCCCATAATGTACCTTATAGTCCTTTACTTTTAACTGTGTTTGTATTTCTACCTCTCCAGTGATTATTCTTCCAAAGGCTATAAACATATTTCAATATAAAAAATAAAATAAATGTTTATTCAGGTAAAGTACATACATACAAGAGGTTATACAAAAATTGATAGGTTTATAGATAGAGATAGTACATACAATGCCTAAAGTCACTATTATGCAAAGCGTTTCGGGCAGGAAAAAACATTAAAACTTAATACTAATTGAGATTAAAGTATAAAATGTGTTGAGAACAAATAAAAAAAAAATAAAAAAGGGGGGAACATGGCAGAAAAAGCAGCACAAATACAATTAGGTCGACAAACAGCGTTGTTAAAAAAGACAAGGGTTGACAATATAGGGGTAAGGTAGGTTACAGGGAATTTATTAGGTAGTGCTTAGTTTTTATCTTAAAATGGTTGAGAGAGGTACAGTCTAACATGATTGGGAAGATCATTCCACATTGGGTCCCTTGATTTGTAGAGCATTTCTAGTTTGATTAAGTCGTACTCTTGGAATATCAAAACGGTATTGGTTCTGGTGTGGTGCTCATGGGTTCTGTTACAACCTTCAATGAAGCTTTTGAGGTCAGGATTGGCATTACAGTTCAGCGTTTTATATATGTAAATAAATATATCATGCACAGGAGTATTATAATGATGGACTCTAAATGCTTGGAAGTACTACAAAAAGGAATGTCAATTTAATTATGAGCCATAATAATAATTAATACTTATTAATGATTATAAATCTTACCATTGGCTGGCTGTTATTACACATCTTTTTCACTGACGACGAGAGGTGGGTTACGTCTGACCAATATATGCAGCTCTCGACAAAATCATAATCAAGTCCAACAGCATTAGTGAGGTTTGCAACCAGCAACCTGCTGTTTGTTCCATCAATATTTACTTCTCGAATATAATAGCGATTTGTAAATATGAGTTTAGGTTTAACCGCTGTAAATATAAAGATGTGTAAATATGACTATTTTACATGCATATTTTTAACAGCATTATATAGCACCATAAAGCAATAAACATAACTTAGGCAAAAAGTAATGTTTAAAGTTTGTTAGTCTATGCAAGACACATGGATACTATCATAAAATATTCAAGGAAAACAATACACAGTATTTATAACAACCCCATCCTTATAAAATGATACCACTTACAGCTACTTTCTGTGGGGAGCCCCTATGGCTCCCTGGAGCTATTGGGGTTATGTGTGATATACTGTATTAGACCGGGGCATTAGTCTATGGAATTCAGCCTATTGGGGACCACGAGCCAGAACCTGGCTCCCCTCAGAGATTCAGGGAGAATGCCCTGGAAAACTCCCGTGATTGGGGGTTTCCTTATCTGCCATCGACCGGGTTAGGCACCCAGAAGGTAGGCATAACAAAACAAACCTCACATGGTAAGAACATTACAATTAACACTTTCGCACGGGCATGACGCAGCATTGCGTCATACACTTTAAATAATCGCCAAAAATCAGGTTTTTATCTGATTTTTGGGGGACTGGTTTTAAAATGCGCGCCGATGTCTTCCCATTTTCTTTGTTGAGCCTCGTGGCCCTCAGGCGGCTTGGCACAACACCGTGGGCCCATTGTTTTCGCTCCACTGTTGTGACCAATGTCACAACAGTGGAGTCACAACAGCTTTAGAAACTATCTACGCTTACTCCACGATGGATAGTGATCATGAACAAGGCCCTTCCAGGAAGAAAATTGCGAAAGAAAGGCTTGAAAAGGGCGGGAATTGGGAGTGTAGCTGGAAGGCGTCTGATCGCTCACTTGCGGCTAACGCATGGCCCGTCTTCAACTCGTCGGCGGTTGGAGCGTGACCAGGTTTTTTTATATATATGCCAATGTTCCTCTAGAGAATTCTATTGCGAACCCATTGAGACCAAAATGAAAGACCTAGGACGAAAATTGAGGTGACCAGAGTGAAAATAGTGAAAACATTTTATTGCGTTTGCGCGCTCCTGGGTAACTCGTTCGCACTTTTTCTGTTTGCTGTGGGTAATTAGCCGGGCTTTTGGAGTTTATATGCATTTAGTGCTGTAGAGAATTCTATTGCGAACACAATGATACAAAATTTAATCTCATAGGACGAGATTTAAGGTGACAAAGTTGAAGAAAGAAAGTATACAATTTTCAGAATTTACGCGCGCTCCCGTGACACCCTGGGTCCCATATCGCACAGTTGAGGGGTGGCGCGCGGGGTACGCCAAAGTGTTAAAAACCAAAGAGAGGCAGAATTCGCACCATTTCCAAGGAAACAAGGAAGCAAGCAAACACCACACTCCACCACCCTCCCCGAGAGGGGAGAGGGGGAGCCACGAACCTCCCCTCGCCGGCTACCTAGCACTTCAGTTCGTTCACTAATGTGGTCTGGGTCGGATGTCTTCTCTGGCCTCGATTTCCAAGGCGGTGTTTTGCCTTCATGGCAACCTCTGCAGAAGTGGTGTGTGTGGTGGCAATATGTCCTCATCAGTGCCGGGGGCTGCATGCTTTTAGGAGCATCCTTCCCTAGGCGCCCTGTGAATACTGCCCTTGCGTGTTAGGGTTCCTTTCCCTGGTGCATTCAGGAAAACCATTTTCATAGTGGTTTCTGGGGGAAGCCCCTACGGCTCCCTGGAGCTTACTAGGCTGATATGCTAATGTCAGACTTTGGCATCAGTCATGTGTATGGAGCTCTTATGGGCCTACCAGGGACCACGAACCAGAACCTGGCCCCCTCTAGAGAAGCAAGGGGAGCAGTGGTCTATAGAAACCCTATAGAAACTATAAATTGGAAGCATTTTATGTCTGCCATCGACCGGGTTAGGCACCCAGAAAAGTAGGCGTCCCAAAACAAACCCCTATTCTGGTGAAAATTGCAACCAAAACCGAACGAGTGGATAGAACTCCCCCAAACAAAAACGAGCAAACTAGTATAACGTCACCTGTCGTCGCACCAATGTCTGACCAGCCCCGCCTCCCCGGGAGGGGTAAGGGGTAACACCACCAGCCTACCGCACAGGCGATCCACACCCCAGTTCTTGAGGCTGATGCTATCAGCTCGGTTGTGTGCTCTGCTCCAGTATATTTGCCGGCGCTGTGCCTTGTGTGTGGTTGCTGTTCTCACAGGGGTGCGAGAGAGCCAGAAATTATTCCTCAGTACTCATGCTGCATGCACCTAGGGTTCCGTTCCCTTCCCTAGGTGCCTTGTAAGTAATGCCCTTGAAGCTTGGGGTTACCTTCCATAAGTTCCTCGGGGTCTGCCTCTGCGTGTCCGTTTTACTGCTCGGTTTCTCGACCGCCCTTTGGGTATTTGGGTGTTTGTCTTCCTAGTTTACCTTAGGGTAAGAGGCAGTTTTCGCACTGGTAAGGGGCACAGGTTGCTGTGCAGCTAGTTGTCACCTATCACAGCGACCGGCTCTGTTCCTTGGAGTACGTTGCCCTCTTGCGGGGTTTTGTTTTTCTTCTTTTTTTTTTGCCTTGGTGGGGGCTTCTGCACTAATTGCCATTGGTGTTTGGCCTCACCCTGATGTTAGTGGTGCCCCCTGCTTGGTCCCCCGTGAGTGTACACATTCCTGGGTTCAGCTTTAGACAGTTTGCTTGATAGTTTTGGGTGCCAGTTAGCAGTAGCCTGCCTGGGTTTACCTGAGCGAGAGTCCTCTTCAAATATAACGCTCAGGACCCTGGAATCCCCTAGGGAGCGTGGAGTCCGAGGGATGTGACCACCAGGGTCCCCCCCTCGCTTCATGCGAGTTGAGAGTTGTTTCGGTCCCCTTGTCTCAGGGCGACCCTCACTGTTTTTGCCTCCGTCATGCAGACTGTTGGGTCGGTGACACTTTAGACCCTGAGTCCTGTGAGTATTGTTGCTTGCTGGTGACTCAATTTACCCAATTTATGGATAATCATCTTCAGGTACAGACTGCACAGGTGTTGCATTCTAGGTTTTGGTTGTTGCAACGTGCTCGGTTGGTTGCTCACCCGGATGCCGGGGGCTGCCCCATTCTGCTTATAGGGACCCGGACTTGGGGAGGGGGGGGGGGATCGCTTCGACCCTGGTTCAGTCCGCACCTCCTGGTCCTTCCCCTCCTGTTGTTCATTCTGGTCCCCCTTCCCCTTCCCTGCTTCTGGCAACGAAACGTCTGAGGGTTTCGGAAGTCGGGGCAGGGGGTAGTTGGCCTTGAGAGACTGTCAGCCTCGGGAAATGCCCCTTCCAGTGTGGCGACGGAGGCATTCGAGTCTCCTCCCCTGGCCGAAGCCTCTGGGTCTGACACAGTGGGCTTTATTCTATCCGGCTTCTACGGCTGCGCTGGCCTTGTCTAGTGGGGTGGTCGTTACTTGGGGGGAGGACTCGGTCCGGGTCCTGCGGAGGAGGACCCTGGGGCTTGGAGGGGCTGACTTGGGGGCCTTGGGCCCCGCTAGACCCTGCCTGGGTTTTTCTACCCTCTGAGCAGGGCTTACTGTTACAAGGAGTGAGGTTCTTTTCCCCCCTCTGCATACGAGTTGGACTTGGTGTCTGCCCCTCCCCTGGTTCTGTTCCGTGTTTCCCGGGGGCTTCGGTTCCGTCATTCTGGAGGTTTTCGGCTTATTGCATCCAACCTGCTGCGGTGCAGGCGGCCCTTGCGGCAAACCACCTGCATGACCCGGATTGTGCTTCGGCAATGGATCCCTCATCTTTCAGGTCTGGGACTTCGTTCCCTTTCTGGCTCCGTTACGAGGTTTCCGGAGTCATCCTGGCTGGCAGACTATCCTGTCTTTACCTTGGAAGCTTGGCACTCCTTCTACCATTCCCGCGCGCTTTAGTGGTGGGGGTCTTCGACAGTGCTTCAGATTTTCCTGGAGGGGCGACCTTGAGCACCTCAATGAGTGCTTGTTTGCACCTGCCCTTCCCGGGATGTTGGTGTCATTCAGCTCCATGTGCAGGTTCCCTCCCTTTCGGCGGCACAGGTGGAGGAGGACTTGCACACTCAGGGCTTTTGGTTGCGGCCCTGTGCTTCTTTTCCTTCTTGGAGCTGTCTTCTGACTGGCTCACGGATGATGTGGGGGTGCTTGGGACTGTTCCTGGGTCTGGCACCTTGGCCTCGGAGACTCGCTCGTCGGCTGCCTTGCTGAAACCTTTCGCGCCAATCTTGCGGGATGCGGTGGCTCTGTTTTATGCCTCCCGGCCTCGTGTGTCGGCGGGCGGTGCTTGCCTCCCCGGTGGATCCACTTAGGCCTTGGTTCTTAGGATGTCTTTCCCTTTTTTGCTCTCTTTTGTTCGAGACTTCCGCCATTGTGCAGTATATTCAGGCTGCTTTGGCTTCTAGCCGTTCTATGTTGGACTTGCTGGTTCTCTCGGGGGACCCGTGGTGGACCTTCCCGAAAGGGTCGTGCCAAGGCTCGGGGTTCCTCTCGTCGTGGTAGGCCACTGGTGTCAGGTTCAGGTTCGGCTCCTCCTTCGGATCCTCCTTCATCGGCGGCGGCGCGGGGGTGGTTTGCTCTGTGCGACGGTTATGGGTCGGGGGTACACCGGGGGCACGGCTCTTTTGTGTGGTTCGCCCCATTAACGGGGCGATGGGGGATAGGCTTGCGCTGTTCGCTCGCGCCTGGTCCCAAGATTTGTTTGCGTTTCGGGTTGTTTCGCACGGCCTCGGTGGCGTTGGGTTGGCCCCACTCCTGCAGGGGGGGGGTGGGGGGGGGGGGGGGGGGGGGGGGGTCGGGGGAGTTCGGGTCTGGCGGGGCAGGCTTCTTCCCTTGCGCTCTGTCAGGTCATCTTGGAGTGGGTTTGCCTGCGCGGTGGTCGAAATGACGACATCCCTCAGGTGGGTTTCCCGTCAGTTTCCAGTCCTGAAACGGGACTGCGTGGACCTGCGGTTCATTCTGGACATGTCCCGTCTGAACCCCTGGGTTCATTGCCCCTCCTTTCGATGACCACACTGTCCTAGGTTTGGCTCCTGTTCGAGCTGGGTGCTTGGATGGTGTCACTGGACCTCCGTGACACTTATTGGCACATCCCATTCATCCTGGGTTCAGAGACTGGCTCGGTTTTGTTGTGGGGCTTTGTGCTTACCGCTTTCGTTGTCTTCTGTTCGGTTTGAACCTGGCACCTCGCGTTTTCACGCGCCTCACGAGGGTCATGGTGACCCATCTGCATCTGTTAGTGTTGGGGGTGTTGGCCTACCTTGACGACTAGCTTATGAACCTATTGATGTATATTGAGGCCATAATGGTCCAGTCGGTAGTGCATGTGCCCGAGGAGTTCTGGGGCATCGGTCGACCACACTGTATAGTCTCGGTATTTGGTTATTTATATTAGTACTATTCTTCTCCTTGAAGGGAGAGATATGTTTGCTGGTACACGAGCCAGACGGTAACAAATATTAACATTCTATAGCTCAGTCTATGCCTTAACCCATGAAATGCACATATCAACATAAGAAAAAGGAAAAATTCTAGGAGCTCTTTCAGCAGAGAATCACAGGGCTCGTATTCACTTAGTGGTCATTTGCATGCCTGGACAGTTGTTGAAGTGCTCTCTGACCAGCTCTGTGGTGGTGAATCTGTTCTGGCATCTGAGCCTGGTAATTACCCAAGTGTAGTTATAGGATGAGAGGTACGCTCGTGGTGTCCGGTCTTCCCAGTACTTTGTTATATAAAGCTTTGACACTTCTGATAGTTTTGGCTTCCACCTCCTTCTCACTTGTTGCAAATGCATACCACTCTGTTTGTAAAAGTGAGCGTTCTGATTTTTTTTTGCAGTTTTGTTTCCTTAGCTTGAACCTGTGAACTCTTGTTCTTGAAGTTGCACTTTTCAAAAATTCTTCCCTGTCAGTTTTATAAATTCTTGTGTGACTGCCTTGTTACTTGTGGTTTCAGCTTCAGTAGCTCTGCCCAAGTTGCTCATCCCACTCTTTCAGGAGGGGTATTTTATCTGACCTGTCGGTGGGCTTTACTGGCCCAGTCTTTAGATTTAGCTTGGTCCTTAACCCTTTTTGTTTGCCTCCTATTTTCACTTCTCCTTTTTCCTAAGGAGGCTCTATCTATGGTCCTTTCAGCTGCTGCTGCTCTTTGGCTCCTCAATCAGGGTAATCTGAAGAGGGGGTTCTGTCCCTTATGCTCGGAGGTGGCCCTCCAGTATTGGGGCCTTGCCTGCTATTAGCAGGGGAAGGTTTATGTGGAGTTGGATTCCAGAGTCTTTGCACTTCCTTCAGCAGATGCCACTTCTGGTCGATGTCACAAGTACGTGTGGCAGAGCCACCGTTCCGCAACCCCATAACCCATTGACGGTGCTGTGGGATGTTGTCTGGCCCATTTTGCCAGTTCCTGGTCTCTCACTATGTGGGCTTTCTGGGTGATTTTCCAGGGTCTCTGGTGGAGGTGGTCCACCTTCCCCATTCCCTCTATTAGGTATAGGGTTGTTGGGTCAGAAGTCCTTCCCTGAGCTTCACATGGTCATTGTGAAGTGGTTGGACTTGGGCATAGCGAAGATAACCTCCTCTTCTCCTCGGTAGGTGTCCCAGGTGTGCCTGGTCCCCAAGCAGAACTACAGTACATTTTTTCTCTCTCAGGTTTGAATGGGTTCCTTCCCTGTCGAACCTTCTGCATGATCACTTTAATGCCGGTTTGCCTGGTATTGCAGGTAGTTTCCTGGTGTCCCTAGACCTTGAGGACATGTACTGGCATGTCCCTATTCACATGTGGTTCTAGGACCAGTTAGGGTTTCTAGTGGCGCATCAGACTTACCACAAAGCTTTTGTTCTTTGGCTTGAACCTGACTCCTTGGATATTTACCACTTTAGTGCGGGTGGTTGTGACCTGGATTGTACCTGGACCCTCTTGAGGGGTTTCGTGTCTTGGCCAATCTTGATGACTGGCTAGTTTGGGCTTCTAGCCAATCCACATGTCAGCTGGCCAGGAACCTGATTCTCTCTCAGCTTGCCAAGTTCAGGTTACTGGTGAACTGGCATAAGTCCCAGTTGGTTGTGTTCCAGGTTCACATCTGGTTGAACATGGTTTGGGATTACACATTGGCATCTATTGCTTTGACTTTTGCAGCTCTGCTCTGCCTGTAGTGGCATTGCAGTCTGGCATTTAACCAGACCCGGGTGACCAGTGGTTAGTCATCAAGTTGTGTGGGAACCTGAACTTTGCCTGTGTGGTGTTTCCTCCCTGCACAGGGGTTTGGCTTCAGATACTGTACTGGTTCCTCTAGTTCTGATGGTTTTGTCACTGCTAGGGCCATCAAGTTCAGGCCTAATTTGCTTTTTGCCGTGTCAGCTTACTCCTCAGGTTTTTCTGAGTTCAGGTACATGGCACCTTTCTCCAACAGTCACTATGTGTTGACAGCCTCCATGGCTCCAAATGGGGGTTTAATGACCCGAGCTCACTAAGGCTCCATGGCTCCGAGTGGGGGTGTTATGACCCGAGCTCACCAAGCCACCATGGCTCCAAGTGGGGGCGTTATGACCCGAGCTCACCAAGCCACCATGGCTCCGAGTGGGGGTGTTATGACCCGAGCTCACCAAGCCTTCATGGCTCCGAGTGGGGGCGTTATGACCTGAGCTCACCAAGCCACCATGGCTCCGAGTGAGGGTTTTATGACCCAAGCTCACCAAGCCTTCCAGGGTTGTTGGTCAGGCCTGTTTCTTTAGGCACACAGTCACTGAGCATATTTTTGGCTGTGAGGCAGGTCTTCAGAGCGTTTGTCATCCTTCATATTGGCTTTGCTCCCTTTTGGTTCATTCACTGAACCGGGGGGCTTAGGCCTTTTTCAGTTTGGAGCTGGACTCTGCATATAACTTGGCTTCTGGATTCTCAGGGATTTGCTTCACAATTAATTTCATTTGGTTTTAATGTATTTCACAAAGTGCGGGTGTATCCAACATTCTCGTGAATGGTCTCTCACTTCTATCCCATTTCTACAAAAGTAGACTATCAATGACACATCCTTCCTTTGCTTCTGCAAGACATTCAATTAGCCCAAATTGGACCGCCTCGTGTTGGCGTGGAACCAGCAGCTTCCCTCCTATGTGGCTATACTCCCCATTTGCAAGGTTCTTGTGGTGGATGTCCTTTAGCTGGATGGGTCAAGGTCAGGGGTTCCTCTCTCTCTCTTCTCCCTGGATCAGTTGTTATTTCTGCTGTTGTCCAGGCTGGAGACATTCTTAATCATGTTGATCGTTTCTGGCTCTTTGGTGGCTGGCTCGGCCTTTATTTCCAGCTGTTCTGGCCTGGTGTCGAAACCCAGGCATTTTTCCACAGTGCTGCCTCTTTCAGCAGATTGGCCCAGTAATGTATCTTGCTGTTTGGCATTCTCCACTGATCTAAGTGTCTGGTGTGCAGGTGGCCGAGTTGTTGTTGCCCAACTTGTGTCTTTCATTGTGGCAACAGTATGAAGCTTGTAGCTGCTCCTTTCACCTCTTTCTCTCCAAGTTTCTTTTGTGTCTGTTCTGGTGGCTTTGTCCTTTTTCTGTTAGTTATTTATTGAATGGTATCATGTCTAATACTTTCAGCTCTTATCATTCGGTTCTGGCAGAGCCGTTTTTGTTGGCATTCGGCATTAATGTCTCCTTGGTGCCATTTTGCAAGTTGTCTCTTTTTTTTTTTCTTTCATCTCCAGCTGGCTCATGCTGCTAATGAGCCATTTTGGTACTGTATCTTGATAGGGTGTAGGTGCTTTTGTCCTCCCATTGAAAGTAATGTGATGCCTCTTTCTAGTAGAGCCTCAGTGGCTTTCAGACTCCCTGCTCCCCCCCCCTTCCACCGGGTGCATCAGTTCATGATCATTCAGCTCCAGACTGAGGCAAAGTTGGCAACAAAAGTCAGGAGCTCCCAGAGCTGCTGCCACTTGTGGTAGTCAACCACAACTAAGGGGTTCAAGCTAGGTTTCCGAGATAATCACTTGAGGAGTCATTTAGCATTTTCAGTGCGTTACCTTCTGTAAATCTTGCAGTTGTCTATATTGCTCAGTAGACTTTCTGAATGTTTTCTCAGTGACGGTGATCGTAACAATCCCCTGCTCTCTGTGCCTCTCTGAGGGGGCTAGGTTCTGGCTCTGGTCCTCAGTGGGCCATACAGGACTCCTGTGACTGACTCAGTACTGGGAAGCTGTCTCACCGAGACAGCGGTGAGACAGCTTCAGGGAGCCACCGAGGCCCTATGAGAAAAAAGGTGTTTCATTCATTCAAGAATTTGTTGTATGCACATAGAGATAACACTTGATTTATCCTACACACATTTCAAAAGTTAAATCTAGTATAAAGAATGCTCCCACCAAGACATTTAGTATCTACTCTAAAGTTATGCAACATTTATGCTAGGCAAATGTAAATTAACATTCATCATACACACATTACTCATACATTTTTGTACTCAAAAATAACATATGATTGTTGTATGTTGACAACAATCTCAACAATACCAAATACCATTTTGTCTCCACTTTATATGGGTTCAGGATGGACTGAAAGTTGTCATTTAACATTATTTTACTTCTATGTGTGTGTAATTAATTAAGTGTAATTATCTATGTGTAATTACACTAAGTATGTGTTGGATTATTTGCTTCCTCCACATTACTGTTACTTATTCTCTGAATACCAGTATAATAAATCACGCAATTTACCTCTGTTTCTTATGATCCGAATGTTGTTGCCGTCAAGATCAGAGTGAGCTATATAATCTTGGTGGGCATCAGCCCAGAAGAGTTCATTCGTCACGTATGAGATTGTGAGAGCATTGGGCCATCCCAGAGATGAATTCACAATTATTTTCTGTGATGAACCATCCATTCCGGCCTTCCCTATATGGGGCTGATTTCCCCAGTCTGTCCAATACATATTGCTGATGGGAAAAAACAATTACTGTACATACAAAATATTTTGATGAATACAATAATAAAGAAATACAATAATACAGTAAATGTTAGTGTCATGACCATTAAGGCCAAGAACAAAGGCACACAAACATATTAAAGTTATAATCATGGAAAAGTCACTTTTCCCAGAATTACACGAGTGATAGATGTATAAGTGGTTATATGTTCGTGGTGTTGTGGTGGTGTGCTGCGTCCATGAGGTCTGGGAGGAATGACAAGTGACACATGTGAGTACTCACCTAGTTGTGCTTGTGGGGGTTGAGCTCTGGCTCTATGGTCCCCACCCCTCAACAGTCAATCTACTGGTGTAAAGATTCCTGAGCTTCTCGAGCTCTATCATATCTACATATGAAACTAAGTATGGAGTCAGCCTCCACCATATCACTTCCTAGTGCATTCTATTTACTAACTACTCTCACACTGAAAAATGTATCTCTATTGTCTCTGTTGCACATCTGGGTACTCAGCTTCCACCTGTGTCCCCTTGTGCATGTACCAATTAAATAATCCATCCTTGTCTATCTTGTCAATTCCCATGAGAATTCTGTATGTGGTGATCATGTCTCCCCGAACTCTTCTGCCTTCCAACGACGTGAAGTGCAGTTCACGCAGCCTGTCCTCGTAACTCATGCCTCTTAGTTCTGGGACTAGCCTAGTGGCATACCTCTGAACTTTTTCCAGCTTCATCTTGTGCTTGACAACGTATGGACTCTATTCTGGGGCCACATACTCTAGGATTAGCATTACATATGTGGTATACAAGTTCTGGAAGATTTCTTACACAGGTTCCTGAAGGCAGTTCTGATGTTAGCCAACCTTGCAGAGTGGTAACCCCAAAGAGTGGTAACATGTTTGTGTTGTGGTGGTGGTGATGTGATGTGCTGTGTCCAAGAGGTCGGGGAGGAATCAGACTTGTAACTTAATAATTAGCAAAGTGGCCATAAACTGAACCTCAATACCCATAAACACAGTAATGGACTACAAATAATTGACAAAACAAAAAAACATTTAAATTGATTAATAATGCATACAATATATAATATTAACCATTAAGTGGAGTACATGACTCCAAACTGTTCACAAATGAAATGAAAAAAATTATGACATGGTGATTAGAGTAGAGAGGATAATTCCAGATAAGTGATTGGAGCAGTGTACAGGTTAATGGGTCCTATAGCACAGTGGTCTATGTTGACTCAATCCCAGACACCGGGGATTATTTTATACGTAAAATAGTGCATAGAGTATCAATACTAACCCATGAAAAGGGTCAAGAACGATGGCTCGTGGATCCTGTAATCCTTTGTTGATGAGGACCTTCCTGAACCGACCATCTAATTTGGACACCTCAATGGTGTCTTTGCCCTTGTCACACCAATACAGGTTACGTCCAACCCAGTCGAGGGCGATGCCATCAGGACTCTGTACAGCCGAATGCAGCACCTTTGATCACATTAAAAATAAGTTAAATACAGTTCAGACAAATACACAAATAATGAATGCATGTAAATACTGCATAATGAAGTCACATGAGGATGATATATTAATTAGAAACAGTTGAACATTACCAGTAGTTTATATAATTTGGATCCATTTTTGATAGATCAGTTAAAGGGTGATTTGAGTAGGATCATTGATACACATTTGTCTCACTAATTCATTGTTAATATTATCTATCTTATACTATTATTATCCATATATGGGCCTATTGGCCCATAGAATGCAGCTCCTATTCATACCCACCCAATCCTAGTCATATTTTTATCATTGTACCTCACTTCACTTCACCTCTCTCCTGCCTATATATGTCCAAACCTTTGTACTTGTAACTCACCCTTCTAAAGATGTATTATTAAATACGAAACTTCTTAAGGAAATTCCTGTGTCAATTCTTCCTCCGTGGTCTGACACTTTCATCCATTAGGAAATATAATGGAACCTAACCTGCATCCTTGAACGTTCTCATATGTAAATACTGATATGTACATGACTGCAGCGTATTCAGACCAGACACAGTAGTGAACAAATCCACAAGGGCCGTGACGAGGATTCGAACATGCGTCCGGGAGCATCCCAGACACTGCCTTAATCGACTGAGCTACGACAGGGTTAAAAGGGTTGAAACCGAAGTTCTACTGAACTTACTGGATCCCGTAGCCTCTCTGAGGCACAAACCAGGCTTTTACACAACCCCCCCTCCCCTGCACCCGAGCTATGTCAATAGGCCGTTCTCCCTCTTCGCCCTTACATCATCACACACAGAGATCACACTAATGTGATGCATCAAATGAACAATAATGAATGCATGTGTTCATTTGATGCATCACGTTAGTGTGATCTCTGTGTGTGTTGTGTCAGACACAGTAGTGTCCTGTGTATGTATGTGTGAATAACACAACCTTCCTTCCTCTTATGCATGAAGTGTGCGTGAAATATCTAAACAATTTGCCAAATTGTTCTACTCTTGCAGCCCGATTGCCTGGTCAGTGAAACAGTAGTGTAGTGGTCTACATCTTCAACTCACAATTGAGGACCCTGGGATAGATTCCCAGGCAGTAAAGAGATGGAGCACATTTCCTTTCACCTGATGCCTTTGTTTACTTACTTTACCTACATGGGAGTTAGTAAACTGTTGTGGGTTACATCCCAGGCTTCATGTCCAACTATGACAACTATAAAGTGAACCATTACTCCATTTCCATTATTATCTCATTATTTCCCATTTCTCACTTATATGGGTCACCCATGGCGACCCACCACCCATGGCGACCCATCACCCACTGGATATAGGGCAAGAGTTGTTAGCATACAGTCATCAGTGCCCTCAGTATCACCCATAATGTACCTTATAGTCCTTTACTTTTAACTGTGTTTGTATTTCTACCTCTCCAGGTGATTATTCTTCCAAAGGCTATAAACATATTTCAATAAAAAAATAAAAATAAATGTTTATTCAGGTAAAGTACATACATACAAGAGGTTATACAAAAATTGATAGGTTTATAGATAGAGATAGTACATACAATGCCTAAAGTCACTATTATGCAAAGCGTTTCGGGCAGGAAAAACATTAAAACTTAATACTAATTGAGATTAAAGTATAAAATGTGTTGAGAACAAATAAAAAAAAAAATAAAAAAAGGGGGGAACATGGCAGAAAAAGCAGCACAAATACAATTAGGTCGACAAACAGCGTTGTTTAAAAAAGACAAGGGTTGACAATATAGGGGTAAGGTAGGTTACAGGGAATTTATTAGGTAGTGCTTAGTTTTTATCTTAAACTGGTTGAGAGAGGTACAGTCTAACATGATTGGGAAGATCATTCCACATTCTGGGTCCCTTGATTTGTAGAGCATTTCTAGTTTGATTAAGTCGTACTCTTGGAATATCAAAACGGTATTTGTTTCTGGTGTGGTGCTCATGGGTTCTGTTACAACCTTCAATGAAGCTTTTGAGGTCAGGATTGGCATTACAGTTCAGCGTTTTATATATGTAAATAAATATATCATGCACAGGAGTATTATAATGATGGACTCTAAACTGCTTGGAAGTACTACAAAAAGGAATGTCAATTTAATTATGAGCCATAATAATAATTAATACTTATTAATGATTATAAATCTTACCATTGGCTGGCTGTTATTACACATCTTTTTCACTGACGACGAGAGGTGGGTTACGTCTGACCAATATATGCAGCTCTCGACAAAATCATAATCAAGTCCAACAGCATTAGTGAGGTTTGCAACCAGCAACCTGCTGTTTGTTCCATCAATATTTACTTCTCGAATATAATAGCGATTTGTAAATATGAGTTTAGGTTTAACCGCTGTAAATATAAAGATGTGTAAATATGACTATATTTTACATGCATATTTTTAACAGCATTATATAGCACCATAAAGCAATAAACATAACTTAGGCAAAAAGTAATGTTTAAAGTTTGTTAGTCTATGCAAGACACATGGATACTATCATAAAATATTCAAGGAAAACAATACACAGTATTTATAACAACCCCATCCTTATAAAATGATACCACTTACAGCTACTTTCTGTGGGGAGCCCCTATGGCTCCCTGGAGCTATTGGGGTTATGTGTGATATACTGTATTAGACCGGGGCATTAGTCTATGGAATTCAGCCTATTGGGGACCACGAGCCAGAACCTGGCTCCCCTCAGAGATTCAGGGAGAATGCCCTGGAAAACTCCCGTGATTGGGGGTTTCCTTATCTGCCATCGACCGGGGTTAGGCACCCAGAAAGGTAGGCATAACAAAACAAACCTCACATGGTAAGAACATTACAATTAACACTTTCGCCCGGGCATGACGCAGCATTGCGTCATACACTTTAAATAATCGCCAAAAATCAGGTTTTTATCTGATTTTTGGGGGACTGGTTTTAAAATGCGCGCCGATGTCTTCCCATTTTCTTTGTTGAGCCTCGTGGCCCTCAGGCGGCTTGGCACACACCGTGGGCCCATTGTTTTCGCTCCACTGTTGTGACCAATGTCACAACAGTGGAGTCACAACAGCTTTAGAAACTATCTACGCTTACTCCACGATGGATAGTGATCATGAACAAGGCCCTTCCAGGAAGAAAATTGCGAAAGAAAGGCTTGAAAAGGGCGGGAATTGGGAGTGTAGCTGGAAGGCGTCTGATCGCTCACTTGCGGCTAACGCATGGCCCGTCTTCAACTCGTCGGCGGTTGGAGCGTGACCAGGTTTTTTATTATATATGCCAATGTTCCTCTAGAGAATTCTATTGCGAACCCATTGAGACCAAAATGAAAGACCTAGGACGAAAATTGAGGTGACCAGAGTGAAAATAGTGAAAACATTTTATTGCGTTTGCGCGCTCCTGGGTAACTCGTTCGCACTTTTTCTGTTTGCTGTGGGTAATTAGCCGGGCTTTTGGAGTTTATATGCATTTAGTGCTGTAGAGAATTCTATTGCGAACACAATGATACAAAATTTAATCTCATAGGACGAGAATTAAGGTGACAAAGTTGAAGAAAGTATACAATTTTCAGAATTTACGCGCGCTCCCGTGACACCCTGGGTCCCATATCGCACAGTTGAGGGGTGGCGCGCGGGGTACGCCAAAGTGTTAAAAACCAAAGAGAGGCAGAATTCGCACCATTTCCAAGGAAACAAGGAAGCAAGCAAACACCACACTCCACCACCCTCCCCGAGAGGGGAGAGGGGGAGCCACGAACCTCCCCTCGCCGGCTACCTAGCACTTCAGTTCGTTCACTAATGTGGTCTGGGTCGGATGTCTTCTCTGGCCTCGATTTCCAAGGCGGTGTTTTGCCTTCATGGCAACCTCTGCAGAAGTGGTGTGTGTGGTGGCAATATGTCCTCATCAGTGCCGGGGGCTGCATGCTTTTAGGAGCATCCTTCCCTAGGCGCCCTGTGAATACTGCCCTTGCGTGTTAGGGTTCCTTTCCCTGGTGCATTCAGGAAAACCATTTTCATAGTGGTTTCTGGGGGAAGCCCCTACGGCTCCCTGGAGCTTACTAGGCTGATATGCTAATGTCAGACTTTGGCATCAGTCATGTGTATGGAGCTCTTATGGGCCTACCAGGGACCACGAACCAGAACCTGGCCCCCTCTAGAGAAGCAAGGGGAGCAGTGGTCTATAGAAACCCTATAGAAACTATAATTGGAAGCATTTTATGTCTGCCATCGACCGGGTTAGGCACCCAGAAAAGTAGGCGTCCCAAAACAAACCCCTATTCTGGTGAAAATTGCAACCAAAAGCCGAACGAGTGGATAGAACTCCCCCAAACAAAAACGAGCAAACTAGTATAACGTCACCTGTCGTCGCACCAATGTCTGACCAGCCCCGCCTCCCCGGGAGGGGTAAGGGGTAACACCAGACCTACCGCACAGGCGATCCACACCCCAGTTCTTGAGGCTGATGCTATCAGCTCGGTTGTGTGCTCTGCTCCAGTATATTTGCGGCGCTGTGCCTTGTGTGTGGTTGCTGTTCTCCAGGGGTGCGAGAGCCAGAAATTATTCCTCAGTACTCATGCTGCATGCACCTAGGGTTCCGTTCCCTTCCCTAGGTGCCTTGTAAGTAATGCCCTTGAAGCTTGGGGTTACCTTCCATAAGTTCCTCGGGGTCTGCCTCTGCGTGTCCGTTTTACTGCTCGGTTTCTCGACCGCCCTTTGGGTATTTGGGTGTTTTGTCTTCCTAGTTTACCTTAGGGTAAGAGGCAGTTTTCGCACTGGTAAGGGGCACAGGTTGCTGTGCAGCTAGTTGTCACCTATCACAGCGACCGGCTCTGTTCCTTGGAGTACGTTGCCCTCTTGCGGGGTTTTGTTTTTCTTTTTGTTTTTTGCCTTGGTGGGGGCTTCTGCACTAATTGCCATTGGTGTTTGGCCTCACCCTGATAGTTAGTGGTGCCCCCTGCTTGGTCCCCGTGAGTGTACACATTCCTGGGGTTCAGCTTTAGACAGTTTGCTTGATAGTTTTGGGTGCCAGTTAGCAGTAGCCTGCCTGGGTTTACCTGAGCGAGAGTCCTCTTCAAATAAACGCTCAGGACCCTGGGAATCCCCTAGGGAGCGTGGAGTCCGAGGGATGTGACCACCAGGGTCCCCCCCTCGCTTCATGCGAGTTTGAGAGTTGTTCGGTCCCCTTGTCTCAGGGCGACCCTCACTGTTTTTGCCTCCGTCATGCAGCCTGTTGGGTCGGTGACACTTTAGACCCTGAGTCCTGTGAGTATTGTTGCTTGCTGGTGACTCAATTTACCCAATTTATGGATAATCATCTTCAGGTACAGACTGCACAGGTGTTGCATTCTAGGTTTTGGTTGTTGCAACGTGCTCGGTTGGTTGCTCACCCGGATGCTCCGGGGCTGCCCCATTCTGCTTATAGGGACCCGGACTTGGGGAGGGGGGGATCGCTTCGACCCTGGTTCAGTCCGCACCTCCTGGTCCTTCCCCTCCTGTTGTTCATTCTGGTCCCCCTTCCCCTTCCCTGCTTCTGGCAACGAAACGTCTGAGGGTTTCGGAGTCGGGGCAGGGGTTAGTTGGCCTTGAGAGACTGTCAGCCTCGGGAAATGCCCCTTCCAGTGTGGCGACGGAGGCATTCGAGTCTCCTCCCCTGGCCGAAGCCTCTGGGTCTGACCAGTGGGCTTTATTCTATCCGGCTTCTACGGCTGCGCTGGCCTTGTCTAGTGGGGTCGGTACTTGGGGGGAGGACTCGGTCCCGGGTCCTGCGGAGGAGGACCCTGGGGCTTGGGAGGGGCTGACTTGGGGGCCTTGGGCCCCGCTAGACCCTGCCTGGGTTTTTCTACCCTCTGAGCAGGGCTTACTGTTACAAGGAGTGAGGTTTTCTTTTCCCCCCTCTGCATACGAGTTGGACTTGGTGTCTGCCCCTCCCCTGGTTCTGTTCCGTGTTTCCCCGGGGGCTTCGGTTCCGTCATTCTGGAGGTTTTCGGCTTATTGCATCCAACCTGCTGCGGTGCAGGCGGCCCTTGCGGCAAACCACCTGCATGACCCGGATTGTGCTTCGGCAATGGATCCCTCATCTTTCAGGTCTGGGACTTCGTTCCCTTTCTGGCTCCGTTACGAGGTTCCGGAGTCATCCTGGCTGGCAGACTATCCTGTCTTTACCTTGGAAGCTTGGCACTCCTTCTACCATTCCCGCGCGCTTTAGTGGTGGGGGTCTTCGACAGTGCTTCAGATTTTCCTGGAGGGGCGACCTTGAGCACCTCAATGAGTGCTTGTTTGCACCTGCCCTTCCCTGGGATGTTGGTGTCATTCAGCTCCATGTGCAGGTTCCCTCCCTTTCGGCGGCACAGGTGGAGGAGGACTTGCACACTCAGGGCTTTTGGTTGCGGCCTTGTGCTTCTTTTCCTTCTTGGAGCTGTCTTCTGACTGGCTCACGGATGATGTGGGGGTGCTTGGGACTGTTCCTGGGTCTGGCACCTTGGCCTCGGAGACTCGCTCGTCGGCTGCCTTGCTGAAACCTTTCGCGCCAATCTTGCGGGATGCGGTGGCTCTGTTTTATGCCTCCCGGCTCGTGTGTCGGCGGGCGGTGCTTGCCTCCCCTGTGGAATCCACTTAGGCCTTGGTTCTTAGGATGTCTTTCCCTTTTTTGCTCTCTTTTGTTCGAGACTTCCGCCATTGTGCAGTATATTCAGGCTGCTTTGGCTTCTAGCCGTTCTATGTTGGACTTGCTGGTTCTCCGGGGGACCCGTGGTGGACCTTCCCGAAAGGGTCGTGCCAAGGCTCGGGGTTCCTCTCGTCGTGGTAGGCCACTGGTGTCAGGTTCAGGTTCGGCTCCTCCTTCGGATCCTCCTTCATCTGGTCGGCGCGGTGTTTGCTCTGTGCGAGGTTCTGGGTCGGGTACACCGGGGCACCGGCTCTTTTGTGGTTCGCCCCATTAACGGGGCGATGGGGGATAGGCTTGCGCTGTTCGCTCGCGCCTGGTCCCAAGATTTGTTTGCGTTTCGGGTTGTTTCGCACGGCCTCCGGTGGCGTTGGGTGGCCCCACTCCTGCAGGGGGGGGGGGGGGGGGGGGGGGGGGGGGGGGGGGTTCGGGGGAGTTCGGGTCTGGCGGGGCAGGCTTCTTCCCTTGCGCTCTGTCAGGTCATCTTGGAGTGGGTTTGCCTGCGCGTGGTCGAAATGACGACATCCCTCAGGTGGGTTTCCCGTCAGTTTCCAGTCCTGAAACGGGACTGCGTGGACCTGCGGTTCATTCTGGACATGTCCCGTCTGAACCCCTGGGTTCATTGCCCCTCCTTTCGGATGACCACACTGTCCTAGGTTTGGCTCCTGTTCGAGCTGGGTGCTTGGATGGTGTCACTGGACCTCCG